TGATGACTCACAATAGCGTCCAGCCGGTAGTATAATTGATGACTCACAATAGCGTCCATCCAGTAGTATAATTGATGACTCACAATAGCGTCCAGCCGGTAGTATAATTGATGACTCACAATAGCGTCCATCCAGTAGTATAATTGATGGCTCACATTAGCGTCCATCCGGTAGTATAATTGATGGCTCACATTAGCGTCCATCCAGTAGTATAATTGATGGCTCACATTAGCGTCCATCCGGTAGTATAATTGATGGCTCACATTAGCGTCCAGCCGGTAGTATAATTGATGACTCACAATAGCGTCCATCCAGTAGTATAATTGATGGCTCACAATAGCGTCCATCCGGTAGTATAATTGATGGCTTACAATAGCGTCCATCCAGTAGTATAATTGATGGCTCACAATAGCGTCCATCCGGTAGTATAATTGATGGCTCACAATGGCGTCCATCTGGTAGTATAATTGATGGCTCACAATGGCGTCCATCCGGTAGTATAATTGATGGCTCACAATGGCGTCCATCCGGTAGTATAATTGATGGCTCACAACGGCGTCCATCCGGTAGTATAATTGATGGCTCACAATGGCGTCCATCTGGTAGTATAATTGATGGCTCACAATAGCGTCCATCCGGTAGTATAATTGATGGCTCACAATAGCGTCCAACCGGCAGTATAATTGATGGCTCACAATAGCGTCCATCCGGTAGTATAATTGATGACTCACAATAGCGTCCATCCGGTAGTATAATTGATAACTCACAATGGCGTCAATCCGGTAGTATAATTGATCGCTCAGAATGGCACTGCTGCCTGTGGATTCAAGTAGTAACCCTACCCCCCTATGCAGTGGATCCCAGGTGCAAATAAAGCCAATGAGGATCTCGGGGCGCTAAATCACATATTTCCGTGGGACGTCGTCACTCCAATATGTAAACAAATATTAGGCCTATGACACAAACCTTTACGGGGCTGTACTTAACAGCTTTCCAACTTTTCATGAATGCAGAAAAGAGAGAAACATGTTTTTAACATGTACAACTGTATGTGGCCAGCTCACGCGTCCGATAACCTTCTGATTTAGGGGGCCATCCACTAATGACCTCACGTTTTTTAACGACTTACAAAAAGCCTGACCCCCACACCTCCCCCCCCCCTTAACGACGTCATTTATGAATAGTAATTGACTATTAATAATGTTCAATTAATTCTAAACGTTCTAATTAATTTCTAAATAATTATATTAAAATAATCTTACCTTCCCTGTTTTGTGAATCAAATGCGCCTAATACTATGAAAGTAAATTAATATCTGCTGACAAAATGTGCTGAAGTGGTGAATGTACGTTTAGGAAGTAATTCATAAACGATACATTTATCTACTCGACACTTGCGAGGCTAAGAAAGAGGGGTAGCATGGGGGGTCGGCTCTTATAAAACTTGAAACAGATTACAACGCCTATGCACGATAGCATCGCCTATTATAAAACTAACTCAGGGGAGATTAGATTCAACATTGTTAAAAATATTAATTATTAGTTATGGTCGGCTGTGGGTCCCCTAAACGGCCTGGTCCTACCGGTGCTGGGGCGTGATTCAGAGGTTTACATCGATGCGTTAACAATTGTGTAGTTTTAGACGACTGACCTTGTTTTCTAAAACTGAGACATTAAAATGTAAAGAAAACAGGTGCTATATTTCTTGGATGTGAGTTGTTATAGTGCTGGTTTGTCCACAATATCACCCAGACGTACCGTATTACCGTCCAGACGCCCCAATTACGTACCGTATTACCACCCAGACGCACCATTACGTACCGTATTGCCACCCAGGTTCACCATTACGTACCGTATTACCACCCAGGTTCACCATTACGTACCGTATTACCGCCCAGACGCCCCATTACGTACCGTATTACCGACCAGACGCACCATTACGTACCGTATTACCGCCCAGACGCCCCATTACGTACCGTATTACCGCCCAGACGCCCCATTACGTACCGTATTACCACCCAGGTTCACCATTACGTACCGTATTACCGTCCAGACGCCCCATTACGTACCGTATTACCGCCCAGACGCCCCATTACATACCGTATTACCGTCCAGACGCCCCATTACGTACCGTATTACCGCCCAGACGCCCCATTACGTACCTATTACCGCCCAGATTCACCATTACGTACCGTAAAGTTTTGAGCCTACGTCGTTAATCACGTGACGGCCCGTGTGTCAGGGGCGGAAACCTCTGGGGAGCCTCCGGTTACACTATCGGAGAACGAATGCCAGTGCCACCACCGTGCTCCTATCGAATTGTGCACTTTAAAATAAATTTAGGTGTCATAGATCACTGACGTGCCTAGGATGCCAAATCGCAATTGGTTTCACAGAACTTTTGTTCTTGGATTATTTTTGACTAGGGGAAAGAACCTAGTTAATATTTTGCAAAATAATTCGAGCATGGTTAATTCCGCTGATTAATCAGAATTCAATACTATTTTTTTATATTTATCATAGAACCTTCGGGGTGGGGGTCGGCGGGTGCGAGCCCTTGCAGGAGTATTCTCATCAATATTTGCCCATCATTATGCTTGTAATGTAGCCGACTTCAGTATATCAGTCCTGACCAGATGTATCAAGTGTGGCTTTTGACTTTTGTTTAAAGTCTCATTTAAATTAAAATATAAAACATATTCTTAATGGAGAGGCGCATGCTCAGTAAAGGTGTTTTATTTTAACTTGCCTCACTGTAGTCGATTTTCATCTAATTGCCACACTCTTCTTTCTATGACATAAAACACGACATAAGTAATCTTTTGGGTAAAGGGAAATAATTCACTGTTTAAAGCTTATCTTCCCTTGTTCACCGCTGTTAATGTATCAATGGCTTTTATGAAATTGATTTTAAAATAATATCTGAAGTATGTGGAGTAAAATAAACGCTGTTTCAAAGTATTTTGTTCCCACCCTAATTAAGAACACTGTTTCATTTAGATCTACATGTGTTTTGGCAATCTTAATGGTAGAGTAGGAATTATTAATTACATACCTTATGTGCTGCATAATTTTCGTTTCTTAAATACCTTTCTGTTTTTTTACCGTCATGGGAGGAAACGATGAAAATTATAGAATCACAAGAAATATAGTAGTTACTTCCCCTTACATATACTATGTGTTCTTTTGTGTACTATATATGTTACGAACACATATTTTCCTGACCATTTGTTTATCAAGACACAATTTTGAATTGAAGTGACCCATTTTACTACACATGTCATACTTCTTGAAATCATATTTTCTGTAAATCTCTAGTTTCTTTCAGCTCTCATGTAAATACCAGAATTTTAAAAATTGCAACTACTCATATTTTAAGTCGCAATTGTTTAGGGTAAGTTAGGTGGTCTAGCTGTAGAACACTCGCTACAAAATCGCCGGGTCGTGATCCTGCTGCCCTCCGTGTCCAAAGCGTTGCACTTTAGCATGGATAAAATACCTGTAGGACATCATTGGCACCAGCGGCTAGTTTCACAGGTGTGCTAATTACACGATGGTAAAACTAGTTCCAGAAACCTGGCTAATGAACATTGGCCTAATTGGTGCCAACATTGTATACATCCACACAAAGGCAAAATATTTCACTTAGCTTATGTGGTTTTGTTACAATGTTGGTCAACATGTTTATGATGATTTTTAACACGTTTTTCTTAACTCAGCTTCGCGTTTGTGGATTTGTTTGTTGTTAAAATTGACATCGAAAATTAGCCCACTTCTGATTGCTCTACAGATCTGAAATTTGGCATGCAGGCTACTTTCGCCTAACAATTTCAGATGCAATCATAAAAACTAGCAATTAGAGACCGTAATTAGCTTAATTTAATTACGCCCCAAGGACCATAACATTGAGGACATGATTTCTAAAGATACCGACAAGACTGGAGGCCTATTGACACAGTTACTTCGGCCCCAATCGATGTGAGCGCGCTGGCCGTGATCGTATAGTGGTTAGTACTTCGCGTTGTGGCCGCGACAACCCAAGTTCGAATCCTGGTCGCTCAAGATTTTTAGTCCGTGTATTTATAAACACTTAGTCAAGTCATACTTAATCAAGTCATTAGATAAAGTCGAAAATAAACTATACAAAAAACTTTTTTAAAAACCACGTTTTTCATGTGTAGCAACGGACTAAAAAGGAGAAAATAAAATACTTAAAAAAAAACTTTTTAAAAAACCACGTTTTTCTTGTGGACTAAAAAGTAGAAAATATTTTTTTCTTTTGTGCTTCCTCGAGCTGTGCAGATTCTTGTGATGACTGACAAAAAACGTGGGTCGGGCAGATGGGTCGGGAAATTTGATGGTGAACGTACCCACGTTTTTTGTCAGTCATCACAAGAATCTGCACAGCTCGAGGAAGCACAAAAGAAAAAATTATTTTCTACTTTTTAGTCCACAAGAAAAACGTGGTTTTTTAAAAAAGTTTTTTTTAAGTATTTTATTAAATATGAGAGTAGAGGCAAACAAAGCCTTCTTAGACAAAATAATAATAAAGAATAAATGATTTTGTGTTCTAGAATTTTCATGCTCAAAACTTCAACTGCTGATGTCGACAGCAGAACCAGACATTTTAGTCTGTATCAAGTTTGTGTTTGTGTTGACTAAAAGCTAATTTCTTGATCTTCATGCACTTAGACATGCAGAAAAGAGATTTTTCAACTAAGCTGGTTTTAAATTTAAAATAGCGAGAAAAGAAACTGCTACATTATGACAAGCAATCCGTTAGTCATGTAGACTTGACATACATAGACTTGCCATAGGTAGTCTCGAAATTTTCGTTTCTTTAAATATTTAAAAGAATATTAGCTGATTAGCTTTAATACCTTACTGCACATTATTTTATATAAATTTCTAGAAAACCCAAAAACAAATAATTACTACACAGAGATTTAATTATAAATCAACTCTTTGTTTGTATTGCCAATATATGACATTTAATTGCTGAGAGATATTTAAAATAGTAAAATAAAATTTGCCGGTCAATCATCAGATGTATCCGCTGATGTATCATCAGAATGATTATCAGCAGATGTCAAAAGTGAAAAAGAGACAACTTTCATTTCCCTGCCCAAAGGTTACCCACATACTTTTTGCCTGCAGACAATGCATCGCCGGCAGTGTCGGCTCCCTTTTGGAGAAGTTGAGCAGATTTTTCTTGTGTTCCAGTGACCACATGACTGACACCAGTTTCTACTTTCGCACCAACCGCTGCGCCAGATGAAACAACGGTGTTTTTTAGTTCACTTGCCTTATCCATCACAGACGTTAGAGGCTTCATGACGCTTTTCTCCACCAGCTGAATCAATCTGGTGCTCAACTTTTCGATGATGTTTTCAATCGTATGAGCAATCCTAATCAGAAGCGTGTTTGCCTGGTCTTTGATCAGAGAGAAAATAAAGTTTTGTATGGCTGTTAGACTATCAGCTATGGACGTGGAGGCAGAAAAGAGAGGCACCAAGACATCAAGAGTATCGTTCATCCCAGAACCTGCAGATAAAACATAACAACATATTGTAAAATGGAATTCATAAATATTGTAATCTACAATCGTCAGTGTCAACGGCAAAAGTAGGAATTTTTTGTCACGTCTAAAGTATGTATAAGGTAGTCATTTCTAAAGTAGGGTATGTGTAGTCATTTCTAAAGTATGTATAAGGTAGTCATTTCTAAAGTAGGGTATGTGTAGTCATTTCTAAAGTAGGGTATGTGTAGTCATTTCCCTTATTTCTAAAGTATGGGTATGTGTAGTCATTTCTAAAGTAGGGTATGTGTAGTCATTTCCGTCATTTCTAAAGTAGGGTATATGTAGTCATTTCTAAAGTAGGGTATGTGTAGTCATTTCCGTCATTTCTAAAGTAGGGTATATGTAGTCATTTCTAAAGTAGGGTATGTGTAGTCATTTCTAAAGTAGGGTATGTGTAGTCATTTCTAAAGTATGTATAAGGTAGTCATTTCTAAAGTATGTATAAGGTAGTCATTTCTAAAGTAGGGTATGTGTAGTCATTTCTAAAGTATGTATAAGGTAGTCATTTCTAAAGTATGTATAAGGTAGTCATTTCTAAAGTATGTGTACGTGTAGTCATTTCCGTCATTTCGAAAGTAGGATATTCCTACCAGTAATGTTTATAACAATATATATATATATATATATATATATATATATATATATATATATATATATATATATATATATATATATATATATATATATATATATATATATATATATATTACAATTTTTAGAAAACTTGGAAAATGTAAAGAGTCAAACAAATTATTACAAATTTAAATAATAATAAAAAAATTTAATGAAGGCATATGTAGTACTATCTGTGTTTGCAAGTCCACGTTGCTTAACGAAGATGGATTATTGCTTAAGTAGATAGAAATCTATTTTGTATATTTGAGATGGACTGCGCTGGGTGGCGAATGCTGGGAGGACACTCACATCTATGTACACTCACATCTATGTACACTCCCATCTATGTACACTCACATCTATGTACACTCACATCTATGTACACTCACATCTATGTACACTCACATCTATGTACACTCACATCTATGTACACTCACATCGCTGTACAATCACATCTATGTACACTCACATCTATGTACACTCACATCTATGTACACTCACATCTATGTACACTCACATCTATGTACAATCACATCTATGTACACTCACATCTATGTACACTCACATCTATGTACACTCACATCTATGTACACTCACTTCTATGTACACTCACATCTATGTACACTCACATCTATGTACAATCACATCTATGTACACTCACATCTATGTACACTCACATCTATGTACACTCACATCTATGTACACTCACATCTATGTACAATCACATCTATGTACACTCACATCTATGTACACTCACATCTATGTACACTCACATCTATGTACACCCCCATCTATGTACACTCACATCTATGTACACTCCCATCTATGTACACTCACATCTATGTACACTCACATCTATGTACGCTACATTGTATGTACGCTCACTTCTATGTACACTCACATGTACATTCCTGTTGACTTAAGCAGGCATGCTGTTGGTATATAAGAAAATATTACACATCTAAATGCAAATTTTGAAAGTTAGCGTACCGTTGAGCAAGTAGCTATCACGAACCCAAGGCAGAAGGATTCGATCGTACATGGGTTTGGTTGCGTTGTCCACCACTTCTTTGATGAAGTTGCTCATTTTGCTTGTGGCGTATTCTCTCAATACGTTATTGATATCTGGAGCATCTATAATATGTTTTTGATTTTCACAGTATTTAAAAATTTCAAAATAATAAGTAAACCGTTACTTGTTGTGTTGAAACGTTGAACGCAAAACTAATTGACGTACCATCTGGGGTATGGACAGTCGAAGACTTGTTTTTGGCCAATGTAAGGGTTGTGCAAACGAAAAGTCCTATGAAGACTAACACAATCTCTGAAAAAATGAATATTGTAAGATACGACGAGGATGTACAACACAACAGTCGTTTTAATTATATATATATATATATATATATATATATATATATATATATATATATATATATATATATATATATATATATATATATATATATATATATATATATATATATATATATATATATATATATATATATATATATATATATATATATATATATATACGTTTATACGTTTATACGTGTATGGACCATACTAATACTTGTAGCCTCAGGTTGAACTTTAAATAAAGAGGAAAAACCAAGGACTAATACAAAAAATAAATTTAGGACAGTCATAAGTGGGGTGCTGGCGGCGGCTCCTACACCCAACTTTTGACACCTTCTGAAGTGGTGAGACCACGACTGAAGAGAACTCATTTGAATATGTACATCTGCTTGTCCAGCTAGTTGTTCACATTCAAAATATCACTAGAACATGGTAAAACCAGCAGCCATGACGATAAAAGCCAATCTAGTTTTAGTATACAAGTAACTAGTAACCCATGGCAACGGGCTGCCGCCAAAAGGTTGACCACACTGAGAGCCACCGGACCACTGGGCAAAAACATGTCTATGATATAACTTGTAAGAAGGCCAGGACACAGCGTCTTAGTTGAACGCTTAGAATAGAATAGAATAGAATAGAATAGAATAGAATAGAATAGAATAGAATAGAATAGAATAGAATAGAATAGAATAGAATAGAATAGAATAGACTAGAATAGACTAGACTAGACTAGACTAGACTAGACTAGACTAGACTAGACTAGACTAGACTAGACTAGACTAGACTAGACTAGACTAGACTAGACTAGTCTAGACTAGACTAGAATAGAATAGAATAGAATAGAATAGAATAGAATAGAATAGAATAGAATAGAATAGAATAGAATAGAATAGAATAGAATAGAATAGAATAGAATAGAATAGAATAGAATAGAATAGAATAGAATAGAATAGAATAGAATAGAATAGAATACTTACCTGGTTTCGACGCCATTTCGGTAGAAGCTAATCTAATTTCTGTAATCTAAGCTTATAAGTTTGGGCTAGTTTTAGAACTTACACTATAACGACTCATTAAGTAATGATCAGACGTAATAACTACAGCCTAGTTATATACCCTACAATTTACCTCTTCATTAACCTTATTTTTCAAATCTGTTGGTCACGACATTGTCGACATTCTTATTAAATGGATAAACTAATTACCTTGATAATGATATTAATATATATTTTTTACAAGAATAAATATGTGAACAATTCACACTAATTAACCTACCAGCGCGCCACCTCAATGTCACAATCTAGCAGCGGTTTCACAAGTATGTCAGCCCGTTGAGGTGTAAAATACTTTAGACAATTTTTATATGTATCATGACCGTCACAGCAGTCAACGTATCAACTTCAACTTTTGTTACTGTACCGTACTGTACCGCACCGTACCGCACCGCACCGTACCGTACCGTACCGAACCAGACTGGACTGTACCTTCTACTTTCTATCCTGTACCATGTATTACCCTTTATTACCCTTTACTACCCTTTACTACCCTTTATTACCGTGCATTGCCCTGTTTTGCCCTGTAGTACCCTTTATTATCCTTTATTACTGTGATGGGGGGAAATTGTATACATTGCTGTCTGAATCTATACGATGACTACTCCTATAACTAACACTCCAACCATAAACTTGTGATGAGGATGGGAACACTCTTATTTTCCAACGACACTATGTTAACGATATCAACAACTACGATCATAAAATAGAATTAACTTTATTATCAAATGCTATTACTACACAATACAAAACACGTCCTTTTCCTACAATGGCTAACCCCCCAACTGTCTTCACTTCTGCGTTCTACGTCGTCGGTAAGATTGTAGCGCCCTTTACCCTTTACCCTTTACCCTTTACCCTTTACCCTTTACCCTTTACCCTTTACCCTTTACCCTTTACCCTTTACCCTTTACCCTTTACCCTTTACCCTTTACCCTTTACCCTTTACCCTTTACCCTTTACCCTTTACCCTTTACCCTTTACCCTTTACCCTTTACCCTTTACCCTTTACCCTTTACCCTTTACCCTTTACCCTTTACCCTTTACCCTTTACCCTTTACCCTTTACCCTTTACCCTTTACCCTTTACCCTTTACCCTTTACCCTTTACCCTTTACCCTTTACCCTTTACCCTTTACCCTTTACCCTTTACCCTTTACCCTTTACCCTTTACCCTTTACCCTTTACCCTTTACCCTTTACCCTTTACCCTTTACCCTTTACCCTTTACCCTTTACCCTTTACCCTTTACCCTTTACCCTTTACCCTTTACCCTTTACCCTTTACCCTTTACCCTTTACCCTTTACCCTTTACCCTTTACCCTTTACCCTTTACCCTTTACCCTTTACCCTTTACCCTTTACCCTTTACCCTTTACCCTTTACCCTTTACCCTTTACCCTTTACCCTTTACCCTTTACCCTTTACCCTTTACCCTTTACCCTTTACCCTTTACCCTTTACCCTTTACCCTTTACCCTTTACCCTTTACCCTTTACCCTTTACCCTTTACCCTTTACCCTTTACCCTTTACCCTTTACCCTTTACCCTTTACCCTTTACCCTTTACCCTTTACCCTTTACCCTTTACCCTTTACCCTTTACCCTTTACCCTTTACCCTTTACCCTTTACCCTTTACCCTTTACCCTTTACCCTTTACCCTTTACCCTTTACCCTTTACCCTTTACCCTTTACCCTTTACCCTTTACCCTTTACCCTTTACCCTTTACCCTTTACCCTTTACCCTTTACCCTTTACCCTTTACCCTTTACCCTTTACCCTTTACCCTTTACCCTTTACCCTTTACCCTTTACCCTTTACCCTTTACCCTTTACCCTTTACCCTTTACCCTTTACCCTTTACCCTTTACCCTTTACCCTTTACCCTTTACCCTTTACCCTTTACCCTTTACCCTTTACCCTTTACCCTTTACCCTTTACCCTTTACCCTTTACCCTTTACCCTTTACCCTTTACCCTTTACCCTTTACCCTTTACCCTTTACCCTTTACCCTTTACCCTTTACCCTTTACCCTTTACCCTTTACCCTTTACCCTTTACCCTTTACCCTTTACCCTTTACCCTTTACCCTTTACCCTTTACCCTTTACCCTTTACCCTTTACCCTTTACCCTTTACCCTTTACCCTTTACCCTTTACCCTTTACCCTTTACCCTTTACCCTTTACCCTTTACCCTTTACCCTTTACCCTTTACCCTTTACCCTTTACCCTTTACCCTTTACCCTTTACCCTTTACCCTTTACCCTTTACCCTTTACCCTTTACCCTTTACCCTTTACCCTTTACCCTTTACCCTTTACCCTTTACCCTTTACCCTTTACCCTTTACCCTTTACCCTTTACCCTTTACCCTTTACCCTTTACCCTTTACCCTTTACCCTTTACCCTTTACCCTTTACCCTTTACCCTTTACCCTTTACCCTTTACCCTTTACCCTTTACCCTTTACCCTTTACCCTTTGCCCTTTGCCCTTTGCCCTTTGCCCTTTGCCCTTTGCCCTTTGCCCTTTGCCCTTTGCCCTTTGCCCTTTGCCCTTTGCCCTTTGCCCTTTGCCCTTTGCCCTTTACCCTTTGCCCTTTGCCCTTTGCCCTTTGCCCTTTGCCCTTTGCCCTTTGCCCTTTGCCCTTTACCCTTTACCCTTTACCCTTTACCCTTTACCCTTTACCCTTTACCCTTTACCCTTTACCCTTTACCCTTTACCCTTTACCCTTTACCCTTTACCCTTTACCCTTTACCCTTTACCCTTTACCCTTTACCCTTTACCCTTTACCCTTTACCCTTTACCCTTTACCCTTTACCCTTTACCCTTTACCCTTTACCCTTTACCCTTTACCCTTTACCCTTTACCCTTTACCCTTTACCCTTTACCCTAAAAAAAGTAAAAAGAAATTTTGTATCGCTAAATATGTATTGAAATTCTAGCATTTACGAAGTGACCCATTTATTTAAAATAATTAGTGGTTCGTTTTTATATATTCAAGAAAATCTTTTATATTCCCTTTACTTAATGCATAATTTCATGAAAACTGTTATTAACATAAGGTTCATGTTATCATGACACAAGGTTCATGTCATCATGACACAAGGTTCATGTCATCATGACACAAGGTTCATGTCATCATGACACAAGGTTCATGTCATCATGACACAAGGTTCATGTCATCATGACACAAGGTTCATGTCATCACGACACAAGGTTCATGTCATCATGACACAAGGTTCATGTCATCACGACACAAGGTTCATGTCATCATGACACAAGGTTCATGTCATCACGACACAAGGTTCATGTCATCATGACACAAGGTTCATGTCATCATGACACATGGGCAGCGAAAGATGTACAAATTTGAATGTATGAATGGCTCCATTAACACACGATCTTAGTTTTGTATTAGATGCTGGTTCATTTACCATTAATTACTTCACGTACTAACCAGCAAGTTATTGTTTTTGTTAATATTGAAGCTACCCTGCTTTATAATTGACAGATAGACCGTTTTACATTTGAATGATATGCCTTTACGTGACAGATAGACCTTTCTACATGTCATAACGTAACTGATAAACAATTTAACTTTTGCATTGAGGTATATAACCCACAACTAGCAAACGGGAGTGGATTATAGATATAAGGTCTTGACTGTATGATCCACAAATGCGGCCTATGTCAAGGGAAGTTCTAGTTGCAAAGCTTGGGGTTAAGATTTACGACTTGACTTAGTATGAATGTGCATTAACTACGTATTAGGAAATTAATGTTACCAGATAAAGTATTGTGTTAGCATCTGGGTTGATTGTTTGAAAAGAATTGTCACTTACTGTAATATAAAAATATAATTAAATATCGAATGTCGAAAATGTTACACAAAAATAATGATGTCATTAATTAAAATTAAACCCCAAATTTATTCGTCTAATATCAGAAGTGTATGTAGATATATAAAAAAAAATCATAAAAATAGTTTTAATAACAAGCTATTATGTAATTTTTAAACATCGTGCCTGTCCCTGCGCGTTGCCGAAGTTTCAGAAGAAATAGTTTAAGGGTTTCATCATTCCGTTACCAATCCGATATTCCTAGACGTGTGAGCTTGTTTTCTAACTTTTCAAAGTTTCATGATGATCGGATGAAAGGTGTAGTAATACATAAAGAAAACCCCACAAACACACATACTTTCTTTTTTACAAGCTTTTGTTTAACTTTCTTCCTCTGTCGTCATGTCATTATAGATCTAAACGGGCGAGCGAAATTGCAAGCACTTCTAACTGACAGATTCGTTTCAAAGTTGATACGTGGGTCAAGACTTGAAGATAATGCAATATGACTTTATATTTGACTTAATTGGATGTGTAACTATATTTCACTAATTAATTAAAATAGTCTAAATTAAATAGGTTGTCCTATTACTCTTTAATAATATTATTTAACCCCCCCCCCCCCCAACCCCCCCCCCCCCCCTCCCCGTCAAAAAAAAACAGTAGCATTAGGACATCACACCCAATCAACGACTCACGTGTCGTATATTGAGAGAGATAGAGAGAGAGAGAGAGAGAGAGAGAGATACGAGTGCGGATAGCTCTATGATACGTTAGGAATAGGTTACGTATAGGTTTAGATATAGGTATATGTATATGTTTAGGAATATGTGTAGTTGTGGGTATATGTGTAGGTGCATGTGTAGGTGTAGGCGTAGGGTTTTAAGTTTATGTTTGTGGTTGAGGTTGTGGTGATGGTTGATATAATGTTTATATTTATATATATATGCTTATATTTGTGTGTTCGTATTTATGTGTTGAGGTTGTAGTGAGAGTTGGGTTGATGTTTATGTTTTTGATTGGGTTTGAATTTGAGTTAATTTTTTAGTATTTGGTTGTTATTTTAGACGTAGAAATGTGCGGAGGGGATAGCGTTTACTTTTGTGGTAAAAGTTGTGGTGAGGGTTAGGGTTTATGTTTATCTTTTGTGTTTATGCTGTTGCTTGTTTTAGACGTAGAAGTGCAAAAAAGAGGATAAAGTTGATATCTGTTACTCTGTTCGTTTAAGTTTATGGTTATGGTTTGGTGTTTATATGTTACGGTTAAGAGTTAAGTTTTTGGGTTATACAGAGGCGTAGCGATGGGGGGGGGGGGGGGGAAGGGGGGGGGGACATATGTCCCCGGGCGTCGACTTAGGGGGCGCGAAAATGGGTTGGAAAAAGTAATCAAAAGTTTGAGGGGGGGTGTGCAAATCTAAAGTTTGTCCCCGGGCGCCGGGAAGGGTCGCTACGCCTCTGGGGTTCACAGATACGTCTTTCACAAAAGCCAGTGCAGAGCCTGGCCGGTACGGCTAGTACTTTATAAAGAAAACCTTGATTCACATTTTCAAATTCAAGGAGTAAAGTAATCATCTACTTAAGTAACATTTCAAGTCACAGCACATTGTCTTCGAGTCTTGACCTACGTGAAAAGTGTAAAATAACTCGGTCCGGTACAAATTTTGCTCGCAATCTTTCCGACTAAGACGGACACACGACAGAGAAATCAAGCTAATGTAAGATGTGTGTGTGTTTTTTTTTTTTGAGAAATCGGAAATTAGGTCAAAATGTGTCCAAAAACACAGAAAGAATTAGGTCTTCTACATATATCTGTGAAATTGTGTCAAAACTAAAACAGTACTTAATTTACAGGCTTTTGAAAACCGAAAAGTTGAGACAGAACTATCAATTTGATTTAATTCTTCTATTTGAAATTTCTTCAAACAAGCTGTAACTGTAGGCCTACCCAAGTTATCGTGTACACAAACATACATAGGGACAAAATTGAAAAACTGTGTATTCCCGAGTCAGGGAGGTGTAAAACTATTACAATACTTCCTCTATCTATACTCTATATATCAGAAAGTAAAAAAAGAGAAGTGCGCACTTTTGCACATCGAAAACTTTATTGCACCACTAAAAACCGGAAAGCGAATTTTTGGAAAATGACGTTTTATGTCAATTTGATTTAGATCTAGAATCTAGATTCTAGTTTAAAAGATAAAAAGAACAAAGTCCGTTATAGAATCGTCAAGGCTAGTATCAGAGTTAAGTGATACATTTAAAGTAAGGAATGTGATTCTTTTTAGATCTAGTATTGCCTTGTTTTGACTCCATTGCTTGCTTGCAGTTACCAAAAATAAAGTGACCGCTATTTGATTTCTAGAGGTTATAATTATAATACAAACTAGATCTAGATCTATGTTAGATCTTACTAACTAACCCTTGTCATCAACAAATCGTTTAACTTGTGCTAATTTTTTTTTTATCAAACACATGGTATATTAATCAAGTTATGGTATTTATGTTTTCATTTTTCTTTTTAACAACATATAAAACGAAATGTTGATTATATGCATTTGAATGTTGATCTACCTACCCTCCTCGTTTTGCAAGGCTTTAATTAAAATAGAAACAGTTTTTAGTACTGACAGCGTTATCACGTGACATTGTCACCTACCTCTGATATATATTAATGTCACATTCATGTGACTTATGTCATTCATTGTCGGATTCTCGTGATGTGTGCCATTGTCACCTTTAACTGTTACATGTCATTTTCTACTTCGCGTTATGTGTCACTGTCGACTTCAAGCAATCTGTTTTACTGTCACCATTACGTGATGTATTTCATTGTCACCCACCTCTGATGTGTATTGATGTCACTGTCACGTGATGTGTGTCATTGTCGGCTAGGTGTGATTGTGTCACTGTCAACTTTACGTGATGTATGATATTGTCACCTTCACGTGATGTAAGATATTGTCAACTTCACGTGACGTATGATATTGTCAACTTCACGTGACGTATGATATTGTCAACTTCACGTGACGGATGATATTGTCAACTTCACGTGACGTATGGTATTGTCAACTTCACCTGACGTATGATATTGTCAACTTTACGTGACGTATGATATTGTCAACTTCACGTGACGTATGATATTGTCAACTTCACGTGATGTATGATATTGTCAACTTCACGTGATTTGTGATATTGTCAACTTCACGTGACGTATGATATTGTCAACTTCACGTGACGTGTGATATTGTCAACTTCACGTGACGTATGATATTGTCAACTTCACGTGACGTATGATATTGTCAACTTCATGTGATGTATGATATTGTCAACTTCACGTGACGGATGATATTGTCAACTTCACGTGACGTGTGATATTGTCAACTTCACGTGATGTATGATATTGTCAACTTCACGTGACGGATGATATTGTCAACTTCACGTGACGTGTGATATTGTCAACTTCACGTGACGTGTGATATTGTCAACTTCACGTGATGTGCAATAAAGTAGACTTAAATCAAAGTTCTGAACTAAAGACTTTCGCGATATTAGATGTGAATGAATGTAAAACAGCAATGCATGGCTGTTGTGCTTTCAATAGTGTTATGTTGATCGAGCAATGTACTTTCTACCTTTAACTCTATAGAATTAACAATTTTTGTTTGTTTACTAGTACCATTGTTTGGTAAACAATAGTAAACATTAATCTTAGCTGCAATTTAAGATAACTAATTAGTAATTTGGCAAACCCTTAGAACAAGCAGAAGTATAGCGTTGAACTTTGTATCCGCAGAATGAGTCTCAGTACGTTTATTTCCAAGTTTATCAGCTTTATAATGGGAGGATTGACATTCATTTTCTTCAACCTCAGCATTTTCAGCCCATATTGGGGTGGAATCACCAACATAGTAAGTCAGCTGTCTGGTCATAGCATGTCTATGGAATTTTATTGTGACCTGTTGGATAAAAGTATTTGGTGATCTAATAAATGGCGATGTGTGCTAGTGTTTGTGAAGTTTTTGTGTCAGAATGCTTGGTAAGTAGTGGTTAGGGAAATGTGAAATGCTGACTTGTTGAATATTAATTATATATGTTACGGTAAAAAAACGAGCTTAAAATCGACAGCATATATCGCAGATTTGCCAGCCAATAAGCTCACTGGCCGGGATTCCCTGGCCAATGTCCAAAGAACTTTAAAACAGAGAGCATATTTCTTATATTGGCTGGCCAATGCAAGCACTGGCCGGGATGTACTGGCCAATTTTCGAAGTAGACTGCGTGTAATAGCGTTTTATTTATTCTGCATTGTGAGCAACGTATTGCTCGGCTGACGTGTGTATAGCATTCTAAATGCCATGTGACATGGAGCAAGGGGACTGGCAGACCAAAAAGTTGACAATGAAAAAAATCCATATCCTACTTCGTGTTCAAAAATAGTGTGTGTGTGTGTATGTGGATTGTGTGTGTGTGTGTGTATGCATGTGTGTGTGTGTGAGTGTGATTTGAAGTCAAACGTAATAAAAGTTCATCTTGTTGCAACTAGTGAAACTCTAGCTTGAAAATATAGCACACTAAAATAGTTTGAATGTATCTTTAATTTTATTAAATATTCAATTAGACCTAATTCCATGATGATAAGCGTATACAAACACCCAAGATCAGCTCATGTTCTTCTCACTCGGACTTAGGCTAATCACCACTAACAAATCCGTGAACTGGCCGGCCTATGGCAGACTTTCGACGGTCAATGCGTGAACTAGCAGATTTCGGGATTTGACTGTAACATATATATATATATATATATATATATATATATATATATATATATATATATATATATATATATAATTATATGCAGGAAAGTGTGTGCAAGTTAACTAAGATTATACAATGCTATTTGTAATTTACGATGTCTAAAAATGTATCTTGGCAAATCAATTGTTTTTCTTCTCTTTTAACTGAACAGTTTGGCAACGTTATTGCCGTCCAGAATTTGTATTTTTCCTGCGATCTAAATACGTGTACAGATCTTGAGGGCGGGGGTAAGCTCATGCCATTAGCGTTTAAGTGAATGTATTGACGTGTAATCGTATGTGGTGATGTTTATTCAGTTGTGTTGACGTGTAATCGTATGTGTTGATGTTTAATCAGTTGTATTGACGTGTAATCGTCTGTGTTGATGTTTAATCAGTTGTATTGCCGTGTAATTGTGTGTGTTGATGTTTATTCAGTTGTGTTGACGTGTAATTGTGTGTGTTTATGTTTATTCAGTTGTGTTGACGTGTAATCGTATGTGTTGATGTTTATTCAGTTGTATTGCCGTGTAATTGTGTGTGTTGATGTTTATTCAGTTGTGTTGACGTGTAATTGTGTGTGTTGATGTTTAATCAGTTGTGTTGACGTGTAATTGTGTGTGTTGATGTTTATTCAGTTGTGTTGACGTGTAATTGTGTGTGTTGATGTTTATTCAGTTGTATTGACGTGTAATTGTGTGTGTTGATGTTTAATCAGTTGTGTTGACGTGCAACCGTATACGATGACGCGTAATCGTGTGTGTTATGGTGTTTCACACATATATTACATGCACTCAGTGTTTTTACCTATATGTTTTTTATTTTGAAATACGCCTCATCCTGCCATACTTCCTCGTTACCCAAATGGAAATGATCAAATCCCCCCCTCTTGAAGCTCTGTAACTGTGCCATTAGCCGGCTAACCTGATTTAGCAGTTCTTTAATTGTGCCATTAGCCGGCTAACCTGATTTAGCAGTTCTGTAACCGTGCCATTAGCCGGCTAACCTGATTTAGCAGTTGTATCTTTTATTTCTTTCAGCCCTAGTAAACACATGTAAAACTATCGTCAGCATCATGCTTATCGTCTATTATGCCAGTGTCATTCTGCAAATTCTGGCATTTTTTCTTAGCTTTCTGCGCCTGACCCGTGTGTATGGCTTTATTTACCTCGGATTAGGTGAGTTATGAAGTGATGGAAGCTAAAACTTTTTTTTCTTACTTTTTTCATTTGGGAAGTTAAAACGTATCTGACCCAGCCATTTCTTGTTCTCATACATTTGTCATTGTTATGCAACTATTTTACCTGATGGTATGCAGCTGTTTCATTACTATATCATTCCCTCCCCCCAGCTGTAGGTGTGCTGATGTTGCTCATTGTCTTCCCGACCGCCGTGTATCCACTAGATGCGGAACCAGGTCGCGAGTAAGGCTAAACTCTTTCAACATTTGCCGCCATTACGACATTTAGACTGTTCATTTCATCGTAGGCTAAAGCTAAACTCTTTCAACATTTGCCGCCATTACGACATTTAGACTGTTCATTTCATCGTAGGCTAAAGCTAAACTCTTTCAACATTTGCCGCCATTACGACATTTAGACTGTTCATTTCATCGTAGGCTAAAGCTAAACTCTTTCAACATTTGCCGCCATTACGACATTTAGACTGTTCATTTCATCGTAGGCTAAAGCTAAACTCTTTCAACATTTGCCGCCATTACGACATTTAGACTGTTCATTTCATCGTAGGCTAAAGCTAAACTCTTTCAACATTTGCAGCAATTACGACATTTAGACTGTTCATTTCATCGTAGGCTAAAGCTAAACTCTTTCAACATTTGCAGCAATTACGACATTTAGACTGTTCATTTCATCGTAGGCTAAAGCTAAACTGTTTCAACATTTGCAGCAATTACGACATTTAGACTGTTCATTTCATCGTAGGCTAAAGCTAAACCCTTTCAACATTTGCAGCAATTACGACATTTAGAAGGTTCATTTCATCGTAGGCTAAAGCTAAACTCTTTCAACATTTGCAGCAATTACAACATTTAGACTGTTCATTTCATCGTAGGCTAAAGCTAAACTCTTTCAACATTTGCAGCAATTACGACATTTAGACTGTTCATTTCATCGTAGGCTAAAGCTAAACTGTTTCAACATTTGCAGCAATTACGACATTTAGACTGTTCATTTCATCGTAGGCTAAAGCTAAACTCTTTCAACATTTGCAGCAATTACGACATTTAGACTGTTCATTTCATCGTAGGCTAAAGCTAAACTCTTTCAACATTTGCAGCAATTACGACATTTAGACTGTTCATTTCATCGTAGGCTAAAGCTAAACTCTTTCAACATTTGCAGCAATTACGACATTTAGACTGTTCATTTCATCGTAGGCTAAAGCTAAACTCTTTCAACATTTGCAGCAATTACGACATTTAGACTGTTCATTTCATCGTAGGCTAAAGCTAAACTGTTTCAACATTTGCAGCAATTACGACATTTAGACTGTTCATTTCATCGTAGGCTAAAGCTAAACTCTTTCAACATTTGCCGCCATTACGACATTTAGACTGTTCATTTCATCGTAGGCTAAAGCTAAACTCTTTCAACATTTGCCGCCATTACGACATTTAGACTGTTCATTTCATCGTAGGCTAAAGCTAAACTCTTTCAACATTTGCCGCCATTACGACATTTAGACTGTTCATTTCATCGTAGGCTAAAGCTAAACTCTTTCAACATTTGCAGCAATTACGACATTTAGACTGTTCATTTCATCGTAGGCTAAAGCTAAACTCTTTCAACATTTGCCGCCATTACGACATTTAGACTGTTCATTTCATCGTAGGCTAAAGCTAAACTCTTTCAACATTTGCAGCAATTACGACATTTAGACTGTTCATTTCATCGTAGGCTAAAGCTAAACCCTTTCAACATTTGCAGCAATTACGACATTTAGAAGGTTCATTTCATCGTAGGCTAAAGCTAAACTCTTTCAACATTTGCAGCAATTACAACATTTAGACTGTTCATTTCATCGTAGGCTAAAGCTAAACTCTTTCAACATTTGCAGCAATTACGACATTTAGACTGTTCATTTCATCGTAGGCTAAAGCTAAACTGTTTCAACATTTGCAGCAATTACGACATTTAGACTGTTCATTTCATCGTAGGCTAAAGCTAAACTCTTTCAACATTTGCAGCAATTACGACATTTAGACTGTTCATTTCATCGTAGGCTAAAGCTAAACTCTTTCAACATTTGCAGCAATTACGACATTTAGACTGTTCATTTCATCGTAGGCTAAAGCTAAACTCTTTCAACATTTGCAGCAATTACGACATTTAGACTGTTCATTTCATCGTAGGCTAAAGCTAAACTCTTTCAACATTTGCAGCAATTACGACATTTAGACTGTTCATTTCATCGTAGGCTAAAGCTAAACTGTTTCAACATTTGCAGCAATTACGACATTTAGACTGTTCATTTCATCGTAGGCTAAAGCTAAACTGTTTCAACATTTGCAGCAATTACGACATTTAGACTGTTCATTTCATCGTAGGCCAGCAACATTTATTGGATCTAAGCAGAAGGCTAAAAATGTAACTGGCTCCAGCTGTAGACTCTATAAACAATCATGTGAACAAATGAACAAATATTTTACACCCATGTGGACAAATGAACAAATATTTTACACCCATGTTGACAAACCCACAAATATTTTACACCCATGTTCACAAACCAACAAATATTTTACACCCATGTTGACAAACGAACAAATTAATGTCCAGTAAATAATGGATTAAACTACTTATAAGAGCAGTTAATTTTAACAAAAACCACCTACATTTAATGTTTGTATTATCAACCTTAAAATAAGTGGATAGGTATATGCATATAGCTCATTGAAGTTAAAAGATAATCAGCAGAGTCGGGTCTTTAGACCCAATTAAACTGGTGATCTGGGTTAGTACGGCTAGGTCTGTAATTGTTTCTATACTGCAACTTAATCGGATGATTTGGATAGAGTTTCTATTCTAGCATTGAATGTTGATAGATTGCTTATATGTTTTGCAGCTTGTTGTGGGGATATTGGTGTCTCCTATTCACATTCTTTTTGCTGTTGGGCACCGCTTCGGACTGCCTGAGATTTACCAACGACACCTACCCAGGAATCTGAAGGTAATTTGTTATATCATTATAAGACACCTACCCAGGAATCTGAAGGTAATTTGTTATATCATTATAAGAAACCTACCCAGGAATCTGAAGGTAATGTGTTATATCATTATAAGAAACCTACCCAGGAATCTGAAGGTAATTTGTTATATCATTATAAGACACCTACCCAGGAATCTGAAGGTAATTTGTTATATCATTATAAGAAACCTACCCAGGAATCTGAAGGTAATGTGTTATATCATTATTAGACACCTACCCAGGAATCTGAAGGTAATTTGTTATATCATTATAAGACACCTTCCCAGAAATCTGAAGGTAATTTGTTATATTTTGGAATAATATGAGATCAAAGTCAAACTTCGTATGATTATAGGTTAATTTCTATTTTCAAAATGACCTCACAATATTTTTAAAACACCCTACGATGCATGAACATGTTTGCCCTTAAGTATCACATAAAAATAAATAAATAAAAAAAACATTAATAAAGAAAGAAAATAATATTTTTGGGTTCATAACCTCTTAAGAAATGCATATGGAACACACGTGAGCAATATAACAAGCATAGATTATAGATCAATAAAACCATGCATTTCTGCCGCCACTCACGTTCACAAAACTGGAGCTTGACCTTCTCTGCTTCTGCTCTACTTATTGTATTAAAACAAATCATCCTCAAACTATTGTACGTAAATGAACTAATTCATTTTTTTTTCTAACAGAGAAAATGTTCCAGCGCTAGACGTCTTGGATATGAAACACCTCCATTCACTGCCTGAACTTTGTAATTTTGAAAATATGTTAATATTTATAATTAGTACTTTAATCAATACAATTAAGTTATTTATTTTATGTTATTATCATTTTATTATAAGTAGCATTGGTAGCATTAGTTTAATTTTTTTTCTTATTCTTAGTATGCTTTATAAGCTTAATCATTATAACTGTAATCTGTATCATCATCTTTAAGTGTATTCATAGCAGCATCATCAAAATAGTTAATGTCATTAACTATTGTCATTATAATTAATATAGTAATCTGCATTATAATTGCTATCCTTTCAGTTATTAAAGTTGTTATAGTATTTACAGTTTACACTGCGAATTGAATTATTGTGTATGTGCCTGACTGCAAAAAATATATATAGTCTGTGTTTTAAAAAGAAACGTCACATTTTGTTGGGAAATTATTAAGCTTAAACAATTCCTTTTCCATTTTCGGCTTTTTCACTCTAAATTGTTTAACTATGTTATCAAGAAAGCGAGAGTGATCTCCGCTAAACTTTCTTGAATATTCTTATACGAGCCGGCCCGCGGCATAACATACGCCGCTATTTAGTTGTTTCTAATTTTCAATAATTCATAATTTGTGAATTCGACAGTACCAACGCTGACACTGAAAATATTTCTTTAAAACACTATAAGTAGCTCGTTAAGGACCATAACCCCCCCCCCCCCCACCCCTTCCTTCCCTCCCCCCCCCCTCCTCCCCCCCCCCCCCCTACGTTTAAAATCGTTGTAAACATTTAGAGTGAACACAGCTCACTAAAACCATGTAGGGGTGGGGAGGTAGGGAGAGCGTTTGCAGCTTGTTTTCTAACGGCTCGAAGAAGAGAATTATATATATAGATAGGACTACGGGTTGGCAACTCGGGATATAAACATGATTGTTAATCCATTTTTAAATACTTAAACTTTAAAAAATAGAATAGAATCTGGTGGGAAAAAGAATTGCACACCAAGTAAACGACAAAAAATAACAGTGGGGAATATTAGTGATTTATAAATTCATGAGGAATCAAAATTTGATAGAAGGCAGAGAATTAGATCTGTTACTCACATGTGAAATTTCATTTATCATTCAGAAACAGTACTCAAGTTATAGGCTTTTGAACTCACTGAAAAGTTAATACAGAACGTACGGACAAAATTGCAAATACAAAACGTCGAGATTTGTGAAAAACTCGATTTTTTTGCATGATTACAATACTTCCTCTATAATTCGTATACGAGAAAGTAAAAAAAGCGATTTTCTATTACAATTTTTAAAAGAATTAAATAATTCTCACCTTCATACATGAGTAACATAGGACTTGTAGCCAGGTAACTTAGGACATGTAGCCAGGTAACATAGGACATGTAGTCAGGTAACATAGGACATGTAGCCAGGTAACATAGGACATGTAGCAAGGTAACATAGGATATGTAGCCAGGTAACATAGGACATGTAGCCAGGTAACACACCACATGTAGCCAGGTAATATAGGACATGTAGCCAGGTAACAGGACATGTAGCCAGGTAATATAGGACTTGTAGCCAGGTAACATAGGACATGTAGCCAGGTAACATAGGACATGTAGCCAGGTAACATAGGACATGTAGCCAGGTAACATAGGACATGTAGCCAGGTAACAGGACATGTAGCCAGGTAACATAGGACATGTAGCCAGATAACATAGGACATGTAGCCAGGTAACATAGGACATGTAGCCAGGTAACAGGACATGTAGCCAGGTAACATAGGACATGTAGCCAGATAACATAGGACATGTAGCCAGGTAACATAGGACATGTAGACAGGTAACTTAGGACATGTAGCCAGGTAACAGGACATGTAGCCAGGTAACGTAGGACATGTAGCCAGGTAACAGGACATGTAGCCAGGTAAAGTAGGACATGTAGCCAGGTAAAGTAGGACATGTAGCCAGGTAACATAGGACATGTAGCCAGGTAACATAGGACATGTAGCCAGGTAACATAGGACATGTAGCCAGGTAACATAGGACATGTAGCCAGGTAACAGGACATGTAGCTAGGTAACATAGGACATGTAGCCAGGTAACATACGATTTCATGTAGTTAGGAAAAAAACAAGTTAATAAAAAGTCTAGTGACAATTTAAGCGCAATTTCCTTATGTTATCCATAACAATTTTTAATTTTTTGTGACCGAACGAAAGGATATTTTTTTTGCGCTAAAAACCTACACGATACTCAGTTTAAATTAAAAATATCATCCTAGGCCTACACGATGCTCAGTTTAAAAATTCTTAATTAATTTTTTGTGACCGAACGAAAGGATATTTTTGAAAACTTTCTTCGGCAATGTTTTTTCTAAATTATGGCAGAAATCGATTGGTAAATGTTTTAAGTCGCTAACTGGTCTGGTTGCCGAGATATGGACCAAAAACTGCATTTGTTCGAGGTTTTTTGGCTTTTCCGGGAAATCCAGGAAAGAATTCCGGGTTTTTTTTTGGCCCACAATCATCCTTGGAACTTGCTTAACATATTTGCTTTTGGAACTAGTCCTCGATATTGCTTCGTTGAGGAGGAGATACGACTTAAAGCTGCGGACACACATCCATCCATCCATCCATTCAGAAATGACGAGTTAATAATCGCAATTGTCCGTATGGAAATTGCGCTAAAAAGTACATGTTGAAAGGTGCTACTTGAAAATACAGCCCGATATATGAAAGCGATAAGATAAGTCATACGGTATCCACAGTCATGAAACAAAGCGCATTAAACAGTGTAATATATGACACATAAAGAAGTCTATTATAGGAGAAAGGTCTGGTTAGGTTAGGTTAGGTTAGGTTAGGTTAGGTTAGGTTAGGTTAGGTTAGGTTAGCTTAGCTTAGCTTAGCTTACCTTAGCTTAGCTTAGCTTAACTTAGGTTAGGTTAGGTTAGGTTAGGTTAGGTTAGGTTAGGTTAGGTTAGGTTAGGTTAGGTTAGGTTAGGTTAGGTGAGGTTAGGTGAGGCTAGGCTAGGTTAGGTTAGGTTAGGTTAGGTTAGGTTAGGTTAGGTTAGGTTAAGTTAGGTTAAGATTATGTGAGAATACGTTAAAATGGAATAAGATTATTACAATTTTTATTCTTTTTAAAGGCATCTGAAACTTAATGTTTTAAAAGATACCCGACTTATAATGACATTTAGCCAGCATTATACCGTTTAGTGTAAAAGAAACGTAAGTAAAAATTTCGCAATTTACAAAAGCAGAGAAAAATTTCTGGCAAACCTCTTTACAATTTGTACTCGACCTTCCTCCTACAGACTACTTATCTTTTAGTACTCACACCTCCCCAATTCAGCAGTTATAATTAGACCTGTGAGGACAGTTGAAGTCAGCAAGTACAGGTTGGACTGACCCAACAGCAAACAGGTACGGTGGGAGATGCATCTCGGCATGTCTCCGTAATTTAAAAAATGCAGTTAATTACTTACATAGCTCTCCTGCATAGCATACAATTAGATTAGAGCTTTGATTGATAAGTTAATTTACAACAGAATGTTGCTGACTCCATTCAAAATAGTGTCATTGATTTATTATGTTATAGCACAATCTGTTCTCATTGTATTTTTAACCCACTTTATACTCTCTAGTAGTGTCCACACTGGAATCAGTGCAGCTCATTACACATGTTCAGCAAAATATTTGATAGTATGTCAAAATTCTAAAAGTGAAACCTTTATTCCAGAATATATTGTGCATTTTGGAACCAAATTTGTTAAACAAAGCTTAACTTTTTAAAAATAACAAAAAAAAAAGCAGCCGACAATTATCATACTGAATTAAAACTAGCAGCATGTATAATTTTATGCCCTGAATGTGGTTACTGTATACGAGGTTTATTCAAAGATCTTGAAAATATAGGCTAGTTTTCCAATGTACTTAAAATAATTCATTATTCTGCTAAAAAAAAATCAAGCAAACTTGAATCATGACAAAAATTTGTGAACAAGGCATTACCCCCTGTCAATTACCCCCCGGATATTCCCCCCCCCCCCTTTCATTTACCCTCGGAGTATTTACCCCCTTGTCAATTACCCCCTCCACCCCCCCCCCACCCCGCCTAGAAGGACTTTACACGCCGGTCATAGCTTAAGGTTCAGCTAGGGTAAGGGTTTGAGTGTGGTCTAGGTCTAGGTCTATTTCTAGGTCTAGGTCTAGGTCTAGGTCTAGGTCTAGGTCTAGGTCTAGGTCTAGGTCTAGGTCTAGGTCTAGGTCTAGGTCTAGGTCTAGGTCTAGGTCTAGGTCTAGGTCTAGGTCTAGGTCTAGGTCTAGGTCTAGGTCTAGGTCTAGGTCTAGGTCTAGGTCTAGGTCTAGGTCTAGGTCTAGGTCTAGGTCTAGGTCTAGGTCTAGGTCTAGGTCTAGGTCTAGGTCTAGGTCTAGGTCTAGGTCTAGGTCTAGGTCTAGGTCTAGGTCTAGGTCTAGGTCTAGGTCTAGGTCTAGGTCTAGGTCTAGGTCTAGGTCTAGGTCTAGGTCTAGGTCTAGGTCTAGGTCTAGGTCTAGGTCTAGGTCTAGGTCTAGGTCTAGGTCTAGGTCTAGGTCTAGGTCTAGGTCTAGGTCTAGGTCTAGGTCTAGGTCTAGGTCTAGGTCTAGGTCTAGGTCTAGGTCTAGGTCTAGGTCTAGGTCTAGGTCTAGGTCTAGGTCTAGGTCTAGGTCTAGGTCTAGGTTTAGGTTTAGGTTTAGGTTTAGGTTTAGGTCTAGTGTTCGTGTTCGTGTTCGGGTTCGGGTTCGGGTTCGCGTTAGCGTTAAGGTTAAGGTTAAGGTTAAGGTTAAGGTTAAGGTTAAGGTTAAGGTTAAGGTTAAGGTTAAGGTTAAGGTTAAGGTTAAGGTTAAGGTTAAGGTTAAGGTTAAGGTTAAGGTTAAGGTTAAGGTTAAGGTTAAGGTTAAGGTTAAGGTTAAGGTTAAGGTTAAGGTTAAGGTTAAGGTTAAGGTTAAGGTTAAGGTTAAGGTTAAGGTTAAGGTTAAGGTTAAGGTTAAGGTTAAGGTTAAGGTTAAGGTTAAGGTTAAGGTTAAGGTTAAGGTTAAGGTTAAGGTTAAGGTTAAGGTTAAGGTTAAGGTTAAGGTTAAGGTTAAGGTTAAGGTTAAGGTTAAGGTTAAGGTTAAGGTTAAGGTTAAGGTTAAGGTTAAGGTTAAGGTTAAGGTTAAGGTTAAGGTTAAGGTTAAGGTTAAGGTTAAGGTTAAGGTTAAGGTTAAGGTTAAGGTTAAGGTTAAGGTTAAGGTTAAGGTTAAGGTTAAGGTTAAGGTTAAGGTTAAGGTTAAGGTTAAGGTTAAGGTTAAGGTTAAGGTTAAGGTTAAGGTTAAG